TGTGTGAATGTTGTGTCCCTGTGGAATGTATTTCCTGTGCCTTTTCTTTAGCTCTCCCTCCCCGTTTGTTTGTTTGGTCCTATTCTGGTTTGTTTTGTTTATATATAAACATATATATATATATATATATATATATATGTATATATATATATATATATGATGTTTGCTTGTTCTCTAATGATAGAGAGCAAGAGAGGGTATGGATTTAAGTGGGTAGGGAGGTGGGGAGGATCTGGGAGGAGTTTGAGAGAGGGGAAATCATAATCAGAACATACTATATGAAATAAATCTATTTTTATAAATAAATACTTTATTATATATATACATGTTTACACCTTTTTCTCTTTTTTCTTTTTCTTTTTTTAGTTTCTCAAGACAGGGTTTCTCTGTGTACTGGCTGTGGCTGTCCTGGAACTCGCTCTGTAGACCAGGCTGGCCTCAAACTCACAGAGATCTGTCTGCCTCTGCCTCCCAAGAGCTGGGATTATAGGCATGTGCCACCACCACCCAGTGAAATAAATCTATTTTCAGTAAAAAAAAAAAAGAAAGCAGTATTTATATTCTATCATTCCCTTTTAAGCAGCTGATCTGGTTATTATTAAAAATAGATCATTTTCCGATCTGCCTACTGTGTCTTACACAATGTTCACCTCCTCCTTCCCTTTCTACCCTTTATTCCCTCCTCTTTTTTTCTGAATGAGTCCCTAAAACTATCAGGTCAGGCCAAGAAAAGTGTCTATGCAGGTGGAATTGAGAGCAGGTGATGGTCAACATTTGGATGCCAGAGTTCAAACAGCATAGATAATCTAGGCCAGGGTATGTTCCTCAGCATGAGATGTTCTGTCAGAGGCTGTCTGGAGGGGGTAAGGGGGGCAAGAGAGGGAGGAGTCAGGCTGGGAAATCAGATTTCAAGCCACTCAGAGAAAACATCTTCGAGAAGATGTGGCAGCCAAGCTGGATGTCTGGCTGTTTACCTGGGAATGGGTCTGTTGAGTAAATACACTAAGAGACTGTGTGACTTGATAAAACAGGAAACCAGTGGTCAAAGGAGCTACAGGTACCCCAACCAGATCAACTGAGAGTTTGATGAGGAAAGGATACCTAGCTTCCAACATGCTTAGTAAGTCTGGGATATACCGGGTGAACGTTATCAGTGCGGAACAGATGGTGTCACAGGATAGTATCAGCTCAAAACATAAATAACCATAATCTAACCGTGAGGAAACATCACACAAACCCAGCTGAAGACATGCACATAATAACTCAAGTGTAGTCTCCAGAAGCAGGAAGGTTGTGAGCATCACGGAAAGGCTCACTGGCTGACAGGAAGAGCACTCTGAAAAGACGTGACAAGAACTGTTGCACGCGCCTTAGCCCAGGGCCTTGTCCGGTCAAACCCATTAGTAACC